AATCTTAATAGTCCAAGAATCTCATGAACGTTGCGTATTATCGAAAAATACCAAGAGACCTTTTAGATTGATTTTGTATGGTAGTATTTAAATTTACTTTACATTCTTCGAAAAACTCAATGGCGTACTTTTTTTTTGAAAAAGGGGCCACGCATCCCCCCTTTGAACGCCACTGGCTAATGCGATAGGACTAATATTCTGTCAATTATGAGAACCCCCAATACGCATAATGTGTACCAAGATTAAATTAAATCCACTCGTGGATAGCCGAGATATGTCAAAAAGTGTTTATTTTTTTTTTAAGCTTCAACGCCCTGTATCTCCAAAACAAAGGCTTTTATAAAAAAAATTTATAGAGTAAACTACACTTAATTTTTGATAGGGAATACATTCCTGCGTTTTCCAAATTTAAAGTGAAAACACCCTGTATATTTCCTTCTAAACTATTCGATTTTTTTACCTGTGCTAGCCTGAGACGTACGCACCTAATAATTACAGCGTCACGACCGTGTCGCAACACTTCCTCTTCGCAGTTATCGCCGGTAAATTATTCGGAGCCGTAAAAGCTCGTTCTGGAGACGTGCCAATTAAAACTAAATCTAACTAGGCAGAAGACAATCAACGTACCTAACACACGGGGCCCGCAAAGGTCGACATCACTGAAACCTTCACCGGTACCGCACGCTGCATCAACATATCCGTGACAGCCGACCGTCTGGCACTGTTCACCATGCGGGACTGAAAACTGAAGAGCCCGAGGAGCGCGTCTACGCTGGCCCGCGTCCATCCTTTATCCATTAATCATACCGTCCAATCCTGGCGTGTCGGCGGAGGATTACGCGCTAGTGTATGGGGTTTGAGTGTTGGAATTTCGGTGTAGACGTCGACGAAGGGACTGTGACTCTAATTCTTAATGTTTCATCATAGCCGAATTCGATACTTTATTTCGAAAATCTTTGAATGTTATACTGAAATAAAACTTGCACACGGTTCTGACACAGAGACCGTAACGATACATCAAAATTTGAATCAATTCAGATGTAGAATATGCCAAGTACATAGAATCGGCATTACAAAACATCTATTCTACTAAAATTCTATCAAAATAACTTTATAGTACAACAAAACACGTCAAAATTATATTAAAATGGTTCGCAACACCTTTAATAGTATATTACATAAGTGCAAAAGCTGCAGCGATTTGCCCTAAGTCACGTGACGTAGGATACAAATCGCGCGACATTGAATTAAAAAGAAACTATTTTTGATTAGGAAATTGACTCTTTTTTGGTAGTAGCTAAACAATTAAAAAAATTACTGTCAAATCTACATGTAAAATACGCAATAACACTTAAGGAGGATCGGATGCTTCATCGGGGAGGGGGAGGGTTGCTGTCAATGGAAAGAGAAATATTCTTTATGACCATAAAGTAAGTAGACTGAGATACCTGTTTGTAGATATTGAATAAAATCGAGTTTAAAATACTTAAAACTATACAGGGTGTTTCAGGATTAAGTCGACAAACTTTAAGGAGATCCAGAGATTCCAGAGACGCTTCATTTTCGAAATATCGGGAGTTAAAGATTAAAAAAAAATCGAATTTTTTAAATAACTTCTAAATGAAGAAGGCTATTTTGGCATGACACATCTTCTTATAAGATACCATTTCTCCATAGAAGTAGAAGTCCCGCAAGCAACCAGTGGCGGAGTTATAGGGACTCAGACTCATTAAATTATAAAAAAATAATACGGCCCTACTGAAAATAAAAAATTATGCTGTTTTTAAATAGAACAGTTTGTTATTGACAAAAAGTGTATATTCACTTTTTTCCTAACTCTTATAGTTTCATGGCAAAATTGATTTTTCAGAAGGGTGCTTCTGTATTCTGTCGATAAACTTTAGAAGACGTTCCTCATAAAACCTAAAAAAATATAGTACCTATTAAAATTGGTCTTAGTCTCGAGTATGTGTGAGTCAAATAGGCCTTTTTGTCTCCCCTTCCTTTGGGTTTAACCAATCGTATTAAAATTATTTAGAAGATGCGTCGTTTTTGAGATATAGGGTGTTTTTTAGAAAAAAAAATTATGTTGATGAAAACAATAGAAATATTTAAGTACCTAACATCTAATGTGACTATGTCGTAATGCGACAACGTAACGACCCTTGCAATACTCCTAATTTTTTTCAGGCGGTTTGTAGTCACTTCATTTACTTGTGTTGTGTGTGTACTTTTAAATAAAATAAGGTGGCAAACAATACATGAAAATTTATTTGTAAACTGAAACAGCCAAAAAATTACCAATTAATATTATACCTAGACAAAGCGAAAAGTGAATGGAAAATGAAATGATTTAAATAATAATTTGTTCAAAATAGGCGCCTCCGGACTGTAGACAAGCACGATATCTTCTAATTATGGAGATAGTGGCCGATAGTGGCACGCTTGGACTATTCGCTGTCTTAGATCTTCTAGGGTATCAGCTGGCACCTCGTAGACTTTTTGTTTAACAGCACCCCAAACGAAATAATCCATCGGTGTCAAGTCCGGTAACCGTGCGGGCCACGCTGCAGGTCCTTCACAACCAATCCAATTCCTGGGATAATGAATGTTTAACCACTCCCCAAGACCTCTACCAAAATGGGCAGGACCAGAGATACATGGCACAAACCATACACTGCTCTTTTTGCAAAGAACTCTTACGGTTTTTAGAACATCTATAAACTGTGATCACGAAATGATTCGCGTGGAAAAGTTTAAATATGATTTATTTACATGCATAACGCATACTATTCAAGGGCGTCGCCACCCAATGGGCTAGGAGTGACAAAATAAGAGAGGATGGGAGAAATATAAATTATAGGTGTAGTAGCATAGGTACAGTAAATTATTTTTTTTAGAAATATTTTTAATAAAACCTTTTTAATATTGTATATTTTATTCTGATTCTGATAGATAAAAATTATTATTTTTTAATTTATAATTCCAGAGCTAAATTTAAAAAATGGAAATGTAATACTTTTTAACATAAAATTGTATATTGTTAAATCCTTTTGTTAACAAATATTTATACTAATTTATTACAATTGTTTTTTTTCAAAAAAATAAATAAAGTAGTGTATTAATTTTCAAAATTAAAGTTTAAGTAAATAAAATATTATTAGAAATTGCCAATCCAATATTTTTTTATCTTACGAACATTTTTGGAATTTTTTTTCGAATTTCTAGAGCAGTCATATTTAAATATTTGACATTAATTAAAAACCAAAAAAGTCGATAAATAATCCGATAATTCGCAGAATTTGATTTTGCATTGCAAAAATAGTATATCTCAATAATACGAAATTCGCTGCATTTTTTCGTAGCACTTCTCGATCCCCTTTAATACGACGTAATGGATACAACAAATCGCGGGTGATAACTGATAAGCCTGGCCACCTTAAGCACGTGACGCGAAACTAGTTTCATCTCGCTTTATATAATTGGTCCTTTACCCTCTCTCTCTACATTCACTTTTACCTACAACCGTGGATTTTTAAAAAATATATGTTTGATTTTTTTAAATTACCCTTTAAATACATTATGCGTTTGTAACCTTTTGATATGGCCTGTAATATTTCATTTGATGCCTATACCCGAAAAAAAATGACAATCAAATCAAATCAATGATCAAATGTCAAAGGTATATAAAAGGGGAGTTACATTTTTGATATATAATTTAACAGTTCCCAAAGCAAACGATTTTATTTGAATCTGAAATTAATTACCTTAAAATTTATGTTTTTTTCCAGCTAATCTCGAAATATTTGGTATTCGACCGAATAGTGCACAAACATTACCGACGAATACCAAGAATTTGGCAGAATACCGCACAGTCACAGAACATGCATTCCAAGCCTACTTTTAAATCAATATTCCCTCCGCAATACCTTTCTGCGTTGTAAACCACATACTTATGTTTAAAATAAAGCACGCGATGTAGAAAGAAATTACTGCTCTCGTAACGAACCATCATCATCATTATCCCCATCAAAAATCGGCGAAAAATCTTCCCACACATCTGCTGCTCTCGTTTCCGTGTCCAAGACACAAAAGACGCACGTCAGGACAAGCGGGCGATGCCACGGTAATCAGCAGAATGTGCCATAATTCAGTTATTTTAATTACAGCGTTTATTGGCACTTACTAAGGCAATATAAGCTCGCGATAATTCGCAATTAATGACAATATCAATTTACCACTAGTTCTAACGGGTCGTGGTTCTAGATGTGGACTTTAAGACCGTATACAAAAGGACATATATGTGTTCCAGTGATATACGCGCAGGCCGGACAATGCCCGAAATCAAATGCACTTCCCGTTCGCTGTTGACGTTTATGGTCTGCCACGATGATGGCAGTAAGCTTTCACCTAAATTTAAACCCTATAAAACCGTGTACAGTTGTAAATGGATTAGTGGTATTGTAGTAGCGTGACCGCTTCTACAAAATTGCGATTATGTAGCAATTCTACGGTATCAAATAATGTCCTTTATCTTAAAAAAATAATAAAAAAAAACAATTAAAAACAAACACAGGCTGTTACAAATTCGCTTCTCACTACAGGGATCTCGGAAAGGGTAAGCGATATGAAGTAGCTTAAGTGGGGGCAAAGTTTCGTAATCAGGGGACCAACATTATGATTCTAAAAAATCAAGGCTCACATGATTAGTATTTGAAATACCTATTTGAAAAAAAAATGAAATTTTGGAAATCCGTTTTTGTTTCATTGTTTGAGGTGATATTGAAAAAAGAAAAACACTTTCTCATTGTTTAGGATAGTTAGTTTAAAATTATTGGTTTATAGACGAGCGCAATTGCAACGCTAAGTCGGTTAGTTATCGAAATAAAAAAAACTGGCGTAGAACCAGGTCAGACATGGTAGGTTTTATTAAGCATGTGATTGGGCATATGAAATGGTATTTTACGACATTTTTTGTTGGTCGGGATCTTTTTAATTTCGAAAAATTAAAAAAAAAATCTATTTTTATGAGAACATGTTTTTTAAAGTCTCCACCGTTATATCTCAAAAAATAATTGTACTATCAGAGTAATTTCTTTTTAAATTAAAGCAGACACAATAGCGCTTTTAACAGTACTAATGGATTTTATGAAAATCGCTTGTTCATTTCACTAAAAATCAGGAAAACTTGATATTTAAATTTTGTATAATACAATTTTCACTAATCGATAAACTTTTTTATTTATGATTCTTTGTATGTACATGCAGCGAAGAAAATGAAGCCCAAACACTACATAAATTTTTGAAATAATTAGTTTTTTCTTAAAGCTTATAGTTTGGCAACAAGCGATTATTTCATAGCGCGCTAAACTGATGCATGGGGCGTCCAACGTAATGTGTAATCTACATAGTGTACGGCTTGCGGGATTTGGAGTATATAGGTTCGTGCGTAATAAGCAGTGTGTAATAATCATCAGAACATATTAAGTTTTAAGACAATGGAGTGCATTATTTGTAAGAAAACTGTGCGGGATGATGACAAATCTGTAGTACAAAGACCTAGAATTCAAGATTTGTTTTTAAAAAAAAAAACAATATTTTAAATGGCGAAATTAAAATAGAATACCTTATAGACTGTCGTAAATCATATGCTAGGTTTCAAAACATTGATCTTACCTGTATTTTGCAATCAGACGTATCACGCGAATATGT